TGCTTTCATTCAATAAAATTAAAAAAAAATTAAAAATTATGGCGTTTTACTTTGTTGCAGTTTTTTTCTCTCGCCCTGTAGGTTAGGGTTCCACTTCACATTTAGGGACACAAATAAGTAGGCAAATTAATGCCATTAAATAACCATTTTAAGTCATTGTTTTTTTTTTTCTCTCATAAATCGTTATCCCTTTTTAATGAAAAGACCCTCAATCTCTAGCCAACTAAGAACTTAAGTCAAAAAGGGACATCCTTTTGCTTGAAATCCTTGCATAATATCCAGATTTATTATTTTCAAAGTATCAACAATTCTCACGAAAATTTAATCCAATGGCGGTCATATATGACCCCACATTAAATCACCATCCAGAAAAATAAACTCTCAACATATCAACTAGCAACTACTAAGACAATATTTATCCCCCCCCAAAAAAAAAAATCCCTTTTTTTCGTTGAGGATAAAGGTTGACGTTGCCAGGTATAAATTAACATGGCAACATTCCAGAGTCAAAACCAACAACTTTATTATCCTAGATCCTTGTCTATGTTATGCTTTGAATGTGTATAACATACTGACAAAAAAAGAGCAACAAATCCCCCTTAAATCTCTGCAGAATATGGACCGTTATCATTTAAAAAAAGGGTCGTCCTCAAAATCTCTACCGTTTTGTAGCTATGCCTGACGGTCAATCTTTTGCACTTTAAAATGGAAATTGTTTAATGGATACATCATCATCATCGTCAGTCGCAGTAGCAGTAACAGCAGCAACATGGCTTTGTGTCAGGGGATGTGACAAATGAAACGCAGGGATTTCAAGTGACATAATGAAGATAGTCAATTTCAATTTTTTGTCAAATGGGTTTACACTACTACAGTTGGGGAATTTTCAAAATTTACCAAAAACAATTTTAAAAGTATCAGTCGGTTTTGCCGATAGATGTATGCCCTCAGCGAATGTTCGATTATTTAAATATATGTCGACTTTTGCTATGATTATTCAAATTGTAGGCCCTCTATGGATTTGGTTCCGAATGAATGGGCCAATATTGTCCATTTCGTATAGGACCTAAATAAATATGATATAAATATTGCAGCGTGCCAGGTTTGGACTATATTGGTTACTTCCTTCATTTTATATGAGATAAGTGATAATTTGTTGGAAATGTAGAAATGAGCCTGAGGTCTAGATATAGTTGACCAAAGTATTCCAAAATTGTGGCCCTTTGTGGGTGAGATACCAGAAAGGGTTTGCAGATATATAGGGTGAGATAAAAAAAAGCAACAAAGTCAAACGCCATAATTTTTACATTTTTCTTTTTAAATTTAATTGAATTACGGCAAAAATGTCGGAGATAGCATCAAATTTTAGAATAAGTTTAGATTTGTTCGAATTGGTCCCCTTTGGCATGAATTATGGCCTTCAAACGGCCAATGAAACCGTCACAAGCTGCCCGAATGTTGCTCTGCGGTATTTTGGCCCATTCCCAACGAAAGCACTTGCTTAAAGTGAAAGTTGGGGTATTTTAGTATCAACCTTGCTTTCCAAAATACTCCAGACACCATAGTTCAACGGATTGGTAACCGGAGAAATTTGGTGGTCATTGTGCGCTTGAAATTTCATTTCAAGCCGAGGAACCTCATTTTGTAACAATTCTTGGGTGGCGTGTGTTGATTGCGATGGTGCTGAGTCCTGTTGGAATGTCCAGGGTTTGCGCCCAAAATGTTTCCCTGCCAAAGGCTTTAATACACGGTCCAGAATATTTTCGCGATAATATTCGGCATTTATTCTGATGCCACGGTCGATCAATACGAGCGGAGAGCGACCATTGGCTGTTAAGTTGCTTGAGTTCTGGTGGCCAACCAAAGGTGCACATTTTCAGCTGACCTCTTTGGCAAGTAAGCACGATCATTTTGCTTGTTTACAAACTGCTGGACAATGAATGTTTTCTCATCGGAGAAAACCAAATTCGGCAGTTAACCACTTTCGGCCAAGCGAAGCAACTCTTTAGCTCTTTTGAGTCTATTTTCTTTCTGTTGCGGTGTAGGTTCTTGCACTTTTACCCTGAGCGCATTTTTCAATATTTGTCGGATGGAATATTGCGTTGCGGTTTTCGATCAATTCGCTTCTTTACATTTCGAACCATTTCTGCTGATGTTGCTGTTTTTTTTTCGTCCATTTCCTTGACGTCGCATACGCTACCAGTATCACGAGCGTAACGAGCGATGGTACGAGACACAAAAGATTTATTCACATTTAAATGCTGGAGTGCTCTAACGATAGCCACTTGTGGTATTCCAGCCAAATATAAAGAATCACACTATCGCGCTTGAATCCCATCAAGCATAACTTTTTTTTTCTGAAAAATTCTCACCAAAATACTTTTGTATGCTTGTAAACAATATAATGAGCTGTCACTGGAGTAATTTTAACAGCTGTCGGCACGAGTGGCTTAGAAATGACAGCAGTCTAAAGTTGCAGTTTTTTCATCCCACCCTGTACATAAGGACAAAATTTCATAACTACCTACATCGTACAATCCAATGGAAATCGTATTTCCAAATTTCAGTATTCCAACTCTACCCGTTCTTCAAAATTGCAATTGTGCCAATTTAAAAACCATTTAGAACACATATGTAAATCTTTCAGTTTATCCAAATCGAAAAAACGCCGAAAACTTAATATTTAAGGAGTTATGGTCATTTTAAAATATTCAATAATTGCCCCTACAAAAGTGATCACAAATAATAGCTAAAAACGCCGAAAACTCAATATTTAAGGAGTTATGGCCATTTTAAAATATGCAATAATTCGAAAACTACCTCATATACCAATACTACACTCCGCTAGTAATGTTAATTTCAAATTTCAGGATACCAGCTCCATCCGTTCTTCCAACTTCGAATAGTACCAAATTTAGTACCGTTTATTACTTTTCATATACATGAGTACCCAATTCCAAGACTACCTTCTTATATATACCCTGCTCCTCAACCTTGATTTCCATTCTAAATTAGAAGTTTTTACCTATAACCGTTCACGAAATGGTACTAAGTATGTACATTTAAATAAGTTTAGTACACTCATAGTTCGAACTTCTAAAAAACCTTTGGTACCTTCATCATATTTTCCATCAGTAACCCTAATTCCATATTGAAGAATTCTAGCTCTACTGGTTCGCCAAATACAAAAAGTACCGGAGTTAGTACCATATTTATTACCTTATTTAAAACAACATTTAGTAACTTTTAGTACTTCGAGTACCGTACTAGCACGAATTTCTAAAAACCCAGCCGTAGCTGACCAAGATTGACCCTCATTCCCAAATTATCAAAATTTCTAGCTTCAGCCGTTTCCTCTGGGCGTTGATGAATCGTTAAGTCAGTCAAATACTTTACTCTTTTATTAAAATAGATTTAACCAGTAAAGAAAGTCCTAAAGTCGGGCGGGGCCGATTTTATGATACCCTACACCACTTTGTTAATTTAGTTGAGCTCCACATAACAATTAAAAGTTTTTATGGGAGAATTCAATCATACACCCTATGATTATAATTATAATTTAAAGTTTAAAAGACTAAATATGCCGAAGCATTTGTATCCTTTAAATTCGAACTTGTATTGCCTATTTAGTGCACAATTAATTTGAAATCAGATAAAGTTATATATGGGAGCTATATCCAAATCTGAACCGATCTCGATAAAATTTGGCAAAGATATTTCTGAGCTGTATTTGATATATTTCCCTGAATATCGTTGTTACGGAGTGCATATTACGGCTGTGGGTAACAAATACAACAGATCAGATGAACAGTATATATGGGACCTACAGCTATGTTTGAACCGACCCTCCCCAAATTTGACATACTAGCTTCTAGCGTCAATTCGGTCGTAAGTGCCAAATTTCATCCCATTTGAGCAAATATTAGACGTGTGGTGCACAATCAAGGATAAATCGGACGAAGTTATATATGGGAGCTATATCCAAATCTGAACCGATCTCGATAAAATTTTGCAAATGTATTTCTGAGCTGTATTTGATATATTTCCCCAAATATTGTTGTTACAGAGTGCATATTACGGCTGCGGAGGACAAAAATAACAAATCGGATGAACAATATATATGGGAGCTATAGCTATATCTGAACCGATTTCGATAAAATTTGGCATACTTATTTTTAGGCCTAATTTGGGTGTATATGCAAAATTCCATACTATTAGGGCTGATACTACACGTTTGGTGCAAAATAAAAGGCAAATCGGACCAAGATATATATGGGAGCTATATCTAAATTTTTACCGATTATCTCCAATTTCAATAGGTTTCGTCCTTGGGCCAAACAAATGTTGTTTGGAAAATTTCATCTTAATTGGATAATAAATGCGACCTGCATTTTGTTCACAAGAATACATGGACGGACGGACGGACTAACATGCATAAATCAACTCAGAAAATGATTCTATGCAGATCATCAAAAGGAACTATGGGTCTATCTCGTTTCCTTTTGTCTGTTACAAAAAAGACATAATATCCTGACAACTTTGTGGTGTAGGGTATAAAAATTGTTATCTCGTTGGGACACCCTTTTTGATAAAAAAAAAATCATCATCGACATACACGAGAATCAAACAAGTCCTCAAAAGTGCGATATTTAACAAACCAACTGAGGCTACAATGGAATTATGACCACTACGTTAGCCAACCAACGGATTATCTCCTTTCAGAATTACCACCACTCCTCAGTGAACCAATTCCCATCATTTACAACCCTTTGACTTTATATGATTTTTAACTTTTTATTCCACTCATCCAGCAGCTTCTGTTAACCAAACGCCATGGTAAATTTGTATCTGTATCCAACCCCATGTACGTGTGTATCTTTTTGCCTCAATATTTATATTTACAGTTAAAAGTAAGCAAAAACCTGTTGCTTTATATCCAAAAGAGAGAAAGAAAAAACAGAGAAAAAAAAAATAAATAAATGACAACACCAACAACTCACCTGTCCACCGAGATGCAACACAAATGCAAAATACTGGCTGTCGAAAAGTAAACATCGAGACTGTTGTAAACATTACACATGAACGGACCGAACATCCATTTGCCACCGGACAGCTCCACAGACGCATTAAATGTCATGGCACAGAGGGCAACCAGCATATCCGCCATGGCCAACGACACGACAAAGTAATTTGTGATGACCCTAGAAAATGCAAAAAACAAAAAAGGAAAGGGGAAATGAGAAACATCAGAGGAAGAGGCATGTAAAAATAACACCAACTGGATTGATAACTTTGATATGCAGATGATGACGATGCTGTTGACACTGACGACGTTGTATTCGAACAATGCAAAGAAATAATCAAAACAAAAACAGAATATATTACAAATTCTTGTTATTTTCTTTTCTTATATTTTCCTTTGCCTGCAGTAGTATACAGCTGAGACAATATGGGATATTTACAATTTACGGAGATGTGTTGGAAAGCTGATGACAAATGGGAAATCTTGAGAGAAAATTTGAAAAGTGTTGGGGGGAATTTTATTCTTTAGTTTATATACCCTCCACCATAGAAGGGAGCGAATATTGAGGTTGTCATTCCGTTTGTAACACCTCGAAATATAAATTTTAGACCCTACAAAGTATATAGATTCTTTATAAGCATTTAATTCTATGTCGATTTAGCGATATCCGTCCGTTTGTTTGTCCTTCTGGGGAAATAAATTCAGATGAAAATGAAGTAGGTTGATACAATTTTACTTAGATGTATGTTAGGTCTGCATGATTTTTGGTATTGAAAATATGCTATACAGATCCATATTTTTGTATAGTCCCCGTATAACTGTACCGAAAGGTTTAAGGTTTTTTTTGGTGTAGTAGATAAATGTAAAATCTTAAGAGGAAATATGAAAAGTGTTGAGGGAAATTTTTTTATATTCTCCACCATAGAAGGTAGCGAATATTAAGTTTGTCATTCCATTTGTTAAAGCTCGAAATATAAATTTTAGACCCGACAAAGTATATAGATACTTGATCAGCATTTAATTCTATGTCGATTTAGCTATGTCCATCCATTTGTCTGTCCTTCTGTGGAAATAATTTCCGAAGGATATGAAGCGGGTTGATACAATTTTACTTAGATGTGTGTTAGGTCTGCATGACTTTTAGTATTGAAAATGGGCTATACAGGTCCATGCTTTTGTATAGTCCCCATATAACTGTACCGAGAGATTTAAGGTTTTTTTTTTTGGTGATGTAGTCACATTTTAACCCGAATTTGCTTTAAATTGGGGGTATGTAAGAAACATCCTCGTATGGAACTCAATATACTGGTGAGATAAAAAAGCCATAATTTTTACATTTTTATACCCTCCACCATAGTATGGAGGGTATATTAAGTTTGTAATTCCGTTTGTAACACCTCGAAATATACATTTCAGACCCCACAATGTTTATATATTCTCGCCTGTCCGTCTGTGGAAATAACTCTAGCTTCCGAGCGAATTGAAGTAGATTGATAAAATTTCACTCAAATGTATATTATGTCTGCAGGACTTTTGGTATTGAAAATGGGCAATGTTGGTCCACGTTCTGGTATAGCCCCCATGGTACCTCCCGATATTCGGTACTTTGATGATTTTTGCGACCATATTCATCGGAATTGTTTCAAATTTGGTATTTGAAGTTCGAAATGGATGCTACATCCTAAGACAGAAAATTGTCTTTGCAGGTCCACGTCTTCGTATAGCCCCCATATAACGGTACTTCCCGATATTCAGTATTTTGATGATTTTAGGGAAATTTTTCGTCGGAATTGTTTCAAATTTGATATTTGATGTTTGAATTGGAAGCTTCAGCCCATGACAGAAAATTGTCGGCGCAACTCCACGTCTTCGTATAGCCCCCATATAAAGGTACCTCCCCATATTCGGTATTTGATGATTTTATCTCATTATTCACAGATTTTTTTTAGTTCCGCATTTGAATATTGTAATGGCTTATGACAAAAGTTTCCTATGCAGGTCCATGTCGTCATATAGACCCTAATGTAACAGCTACATCCGGTATTTTTAAGATTTTAACAGAATTTTATTGTTTTAAGAATTGCCAAATTCGTTACAAATGGTGGAGGGTATTCAAAGTTCGGCCCTGCCGAACCTACAGGTTTTTTACTTGTCTATTTTAAATTTTATTGAATAAAAGTAAAAATGTCGGAGTATCATCAAATTTTAGAATAAGTTTATATTTGTTGGAATCGGTCATCTTTGGCACGAATAATGGCCAAGGAAACCGTCGGCCAAGGCCAAGGAAACTGTCACACGCTGCCCGAATGTTGCTTTGCGGTATTTTAGCCCATTTCCGGAGCGCTTGCATGAGGTGATCGACACTATGGTATTTTTTAGTGCCAACATTGCTTTCCAAAATACTTCAGACACAATAGTCCGCGGATACCAATTAGTTGTATCCGAAGATTTTGGTGGCCATTGTGTGCTGGAATGGAGCAAGAAACCTCATTTTGTAACCTTTCTTGGGTGGCGCGTGCTGGGTGCGATGGTGCTAAATAATGCTGGAATATCCAAGGACTGCGGCCAAAATGTTTGTGTGCCCAAGGCTTAAATACACGCTCCAGAATATTTTCGCGACAATTTTCGGCATTTATTCTGATGCCACGGTCGATAAATACGAGCAGAGAGCGACCATCCGCTGTTATGGCGGCTCACACCATTACCATGGCCGGCGCTTGAGCTCTCTTGGCCAAACGAAGTTGCACATTTTCAGCTGACGTCTTTGGCAAGTAAATACGATCTTTTTTTTTGTTTACAAACTGCTGGACATCGAATGTTTTCTGATCGGAGAAAACCACATTCGGCAGTTCACCACTTTTGGCCAAGCGAAGCAACTCTTTAGCTCTATTGAGTATATTTTTTCTGTTGCGGTGTAAGTTCTTGCACTTTTTGGAATTTCGATGGCTTTACCCCGAGCTCATTTTTCAATATTTGCCGAATGGAATATTGCGATATGTTCAGCTCACGAGCCATTTTTCGGCCACTGCGACGCGGGTTTCGATCCAGTCGCTTCTTTACTTTTCGAAGCATTTCTGCTGATGTCGTCGTCTTCTTCCGTCCACTTCCTTGACGTCGGGCTACGCTACCAGTATTACGTAACGATAGCCACTTGTGGTTTTCCAGCCAAATATAAAGAAATCAGACTATCCCGCTTGAATTCCATCACGAATAACTTTTTTTCTGGAAAATTCTCACCAAAATGCTTCTGTACGCTTGTAAACAATATAATGAGCTGTCACTGGAATAATTTTAACAGCTGTCGGACGAGTGGCTTAGAAATGACAGCAGTCTGAAGTTGGTTGCAGTTTTTTCATCTCTCCCATATGGGCCCCCTATAACGATACCTCTCTATATTCGGTATTGTGATAATTTTTTCCTACATTTTTTAACCGGATTTGTATCAAATGGCGTATTTGAAATTCCTAATGTATATGCAGTTTGAATTCTTCCTATAGCCCGCATATAATGATACCTCTTTTTATTCGATACTTTGTAATTTTAAGCATTTTTTACAGGATTTGTATTAAATTTCGCATTTAAAATTCCTAATGGATACTACAACCTGTCACAGAAAATGGCATATGCAGGTCCAGATCTTCGGATAGCCCCATATAACGGTACCTCCCTATATGCGGTATTTTGATGCTCTTAGCGACATTATTCACAGGATTTGTATCAAATTTCGTACTTGAAGATCTTAATAGGTACTACAGCCTATGACAGATAATTACAGATATGATTTGATGATTTTATTGAAGTTCTAAACGGGTACTACAGACTATGATAGAAAATGGCATATGCAGGCCCAGGTCTTCGTATAGCCCCCATATAACAATACCTCCATTCATTCGGTATTTTGTTGATATTAGCGACATTATTCACCGGATTTTTTATCAAATTTCGTATTTGAAGTTCCTAATGGATACTACAGCCTATGACAGAAAATTGCATATAGAGGTCCAGGTGTTCGTATAGCCCGCATATAACAGTTTTTCACTATATTCGGCGTTTTGATACTTCTTGCGACATTTTTCATCAGAATTGTTTCAAATTTCGTATTTAAAGGTCCTAATGAGTACTACAGCCTGTGACAGGTCTAGGTCATCGTACAGTCCCCATATAACGGTACCTATACCTACATTTTTCGCCGGATTTGTATCAAACTTCGTATTTGAAGTTGCTAGTGGGTACTACACCCTATGACAGAATTTAAAAAGGATTGCGTCTTCGTATGGCCCCTATGTAAGGGGTTTTCATTTGTGAGGTATTTTTCTACGCATTTTTTATTGAAAATTTTCAAGTTTCTTCAAAATGGTAGAAGGTATTAAAAATTCGGCCAGGTAGAACTTAGCTGATTTTTTACTTCTTAATTTTTTTTTTACTTTTTTGAAAACGTTTTATTTGTTCTTGATACTCAAAAAACACACTGCATCGTCCTTGCATCTGATTGCCTCGTAATCTGAATTTCTTTCATAGTTAGAAGAAAGAAAAATAGATTGATTGAAAAATAGACAGATTTCATTTTTATTTTCATTCTCGACACAGGTGGTCGATACCGCCGTTCAAACTCTCTTTTGAATAGTTTTCTCTGGATTTCAGTTTTTTTCTGTTAAATGAACAAAATTCTTGCAGATTTTTTGCCCTTTAATTGAAAAAATCCAACGCAGCTGCATGGAAAAAAGCTTCCATTCAATAGAATAGCAAAAAATCACATGGAAATGGTCATCATGTCTCCGACTAACAATGACGTTAACAAGGAAATTCACATAAATGCGGGCAGTGAAAAGAAAAAAAAAACGCCAATGTAATGTCAATAACTACATTTCATTGGTTATGTTACATTACGCAATGGTGCATCCCGCTGTCATAGTTTCTCCCTTGCTTGGCATTTCTCCCCCGGGTAGTTTTGCTTTTATTGCAAAATGAAGTTGACACACTTCACTGGATATTACATTTTATGGGTTCGTTGTCTATGGCTGTGTGTGTGTGTGTTTGTTTCATGTATGCGTGCATGTCTACCATTGTCTACCATAAACGAATCCAATTGTTCCACATTTCCGCCAAGTGGCGAGAGCACATAAATATAACTGCCTTTTCCAAATCCAAGAATGGACACTTGAATCTACTTTCAACAAC